CGATTGATCACAATTCACTGTCGGAAATGGTGTTCAGTCATCTCCACAAATAATTAAATGTGGAGTACCACAAGGGTCGAATTTAGGGCCATTATTATTTTTTAACTTTATTTAAATAACGACTTACCAAACTGTCTTAAAAATTGTGCTGTTTCACTATATGCCGATGATACCTGCATTTATTATGCTAGTAATACAGTACAAGATATTGAAAATCATTTGAATCAAGACTTACAGAATATTTCTGACTGGCTTTCATGTAATCGGTTGGTACTAAATACAAAGAAATGTGAAACAATGCTAATTGGATCTAAAAAAAGAATGTGTGGAAAAATGTAGATGTGTTTATTGATAACAAAAAACTGAACCAGGTTACTGTGTGTAAATACCTTTGGGTATACATTGATAACTCGTTAGATTGGGATAAACATGTGAAACATTTGTGTAAAAGTACTGTGAAGAATTTGTATTTGTTAAAAAAAATAAGACATTGCACCTCGCAAAAAATGGCATTACTTTTTTATAAGTCAATTGATCAAAGTAATTAGATTATTGTGATGTTGTTTGGAATAATATGAAGAAACAAATATTGAAAAACTCCAAATTATGCAAAATAGATTACTTAAAACAGTGGAAAATAGATACTTACACTATGAACATGACTGACAAAGAAAGCGGACAAAATATACAGTTCCTCAGTTAGACAAAGGAACATCCCTTCACTGCTATTATGTAAAAAGGTGAATATGCATGTGACACCTGTTCTACACATTTGTACATAATAGCAGTGAAGGGATGTTCCTTTGTCTACCTGAGGAACTGTATATTTTGTCCGCTTTCTTTGTCAGTCATGTTCATAGTGTTAACTAGACTTTCGTATGAAAATTTGTGTTTGGCTACCCTACTTGAGAGACGTAAAAACCATGTTCTCTGTTTAATGTATAAAATTGCAGACCAATCAACCCCGGATTATCTTTTAAGTAAATTTAATTTTTAAATACACTTCCTATAGCTTATGAAATGCTCCTCATATATTTACTTTACGAAGAATTAAATCCTGCTTCAAAAAAAAAAGTTTAAGTTATTATGGTGCCAAACTATGGAATGAATTGCAGGTAGTAACTAAATATAAACCAACTTACTATACTTTCAAAAGCAGTTTATAATATTTGTAATATCATGTTTGACTTTTAATAGCGAACAAAAACAACTGATTTGTTTTTCTTCTATATTTTGTAAATATATTCTTTTATATATATTTTTTTTTTTTCTGATCATATTTTTGTCTAAATTAGGGCTTGTTTGGATTTCTCGCCTTCTAACCTATTTGTTTATATATATGTGTACGCTTATTTAACTTTGTATGTACATCATGTTAATCTATGATGTATGTTTCTTTGTAAAATTGTGATTGCTTATTATATGCATGGCCATGCTGAAGAACAGCCATTGGCTGAAGTATGCCACCGTACTAAAATAAAATAAACAAACATAATCAACATTGTCGCATCAAATGAATGTCCTCATCAACATACACATTATCAGGTGGCGGTGGTCATGATGTGATCAAAGAAAGACTCTCATTATTGGTCCATCTGTAGTAGGGTCCATGGATAAACAGATTGATTTGTTGATAAATAACTGATCATAACAGGAACAAGAGGCTTTTCTCATCTGTTTAATTTTCCCAAGAAGCTTTGCAAGAACAGATTCATTAGAAATATTTTCACATTTGGAATATTAGTAAAGTTTTTCTGTTTTCATACATGGCTAATAAGGCTTCTTCTATTATCTTTTACTAGAATGGGTTCTATTATCTGTTTTTCTCCCATGTGTGAGTTCTTTGATGGTGTGTCAAATACAATTTTCAAATCAAGTACATGTACACCCATTTTAGAATTGTGTCAATATAGTTCATCGCTTAACATATCAATGAATTATAAAATGAGAAAAAATCATTCATTACAGCATTTTTGTTCTGATTATATGAAAGGTAACATCAATTTGTTGAGAAAATTCCATATCTCATTGAAAACATTGAAATGATCCAATGTGTGTTTTAAGTTGTTAAGTAAGATAAATTATACTACAAACTCCAACTTCACAATGTCAACATTAACTAGAAATGCAATCGTGTCACAACGATTTGCGTGCAATGACGCCATGTTTCTATGTGTCAAACAAAAGAGCTTCTCTCGGACTATCCAGAGCAATTTGTACAAAGTCTGTAGCTTTTGTGATAGGTATATAGGGCGAAAGAAAAGCCTCAACAGTGACCTTTGATGGGATGGTAGTGACTACGCCTACGAAGTTTGAAAGAAATTGGGATAGGGGAAAGAGCCTAGAAAAGGCTCACAAGCACTGCGTGCAAAAACCAATGGGATTTAGTGCATGTTTGTCATTGCAATAAATTTACCTTTAACGTGTACAAAAATGACCAACCGATCCACCCAAACACCAGGAGCTTCCTCCACGCCGATGATCTCTGCATCGCCACCCAGAACCAGTCTTTTGTGAAGTTGGAGGAGTCCCTCAGTGATGCCCTGGCCGGTCTCACCCCATACTATGCGACCAACCACCTGAGAGCTAACCCTGATAAAACTCAGATAAGCGCATTCCACCTCAAGAACAGGGATGCCAACCATCAACTAAGGATCAGCTGGTATGGGAAAAGGCTGAAGCACACTCCCAACCCAGTCTACTTAGGCGTCACACTCGATCGCTCCCTTACCTACAAGAACCACATTGCCAACACAAAGGCAAAAGTTGGAGCCCGCAACAGCATCCTCAAGAAGCTAGCCAACACCAACTGGGGGACTGATGCCAGAACAATCCGGACGACAGCCCTCGCGCTTTGCTTCTCTGCTGCGGAGTATGCATCACCAGTATGGAGTAGGTCGGCCCATGCACCCAAGATTGACCCAGCTCTAAATTCATCTTGCAGAGCGATCACTGGATGCCTATAAGGCCAACTAAAGTAGAAGACATCTACCTGCTCTGCGGTATTGCCCCTCCACACGTCAGAAGGTTGGTCTTGTCCCAGAAAGAAAAGGACAAACAAGAAAACAATCCACTCCACCCACTCTTCGAACAACAGCCAGTGGGCAAGCGGCTCAAATCCAGACACAGCTTTCTGCACTCGGTAGAGCCTCTTAATACTAGCCCTCACAACCAAAGGATGACTTTGTGGTCTAACCACCTTCAGACCACTCCACATAAACTCTCCCTCAGCCCGAAGGAATCCCTCGCAACCGGCTCCAGTGAGACTTGGCCTACTTGGCTTAGCCTCAACCGCCTAAGAACTGGCTACGGTCGATGCAGAGTCCTAATGCAGAGATGGGGTCTAGGAGACGAACAAACGGCATGTGAATGCGGCCAGGAACAGACAATGGAACACCTGCTAGTCTGCCCACTCCTGCCAAAGCCATGCACCCAAGATGACCTGGAAGCCGTTAATTGCCGTGCCAAAGCCTGTGTGGACCACTGGACGGGATTTGTGTAGTGACTCGATAACAAGAAGATTGCAATAAAGATCGTTCTGGGGGCCAAAAGCGTGAACCTGATATGCCCCATAGACAATGCGTGTAATGCATGGGCGGAAAACGTACAGGATCTGTATTATGACCGGAGTTAGATTGGTTTTTCTCTCTCTCTTTATGTCCCTTTATGGGCTGTATTTGGTATCATTAGAAAAAGAATTTCATGGTTGTTATTGTAAACCACTCCCTTTTTTTTCTATGATAATCCTATCGAAACACGTGATGCAAAATAGATTTATAGGACAAAATGGTGTCCTTAATGGCCCCCTTGACCAATTTCAAAAATCCAGCTTGGAGGTGACCTGCGTATTGCAACTCGGAATGTCATCGCAAATTTTCAAGGAAAAATGAGCACGTTTAGGGGGCGAAAAGCAGTGTGAAAAATGACGTCATAGCCGATACGTGTTATAATCGGGCGGAAACTCGGCGGAATTCGTATAGTGACCCTTGTTCAAATGTGATTTACTCACAAATTTCTGTGTGAACTTATACCATACTTGGTATCATTCGAAAGGGCACTTCATTGCTGTCAGTTTGACACCATTGTGATCTGCGTGCATAGTAAATTCATCATTTTTGGCGATAACTTTGCGCTGACATCATCGAAATTTACCAAACTTAGCAGACAATTGTCACATATATGGATACATATATCTGCCAAGTTTCATTGATGTAGGTATAAAGATCGCCATTTGAGAGCAAGTTGAAGTTATTTTGGAATTTTCTTGAAAATGGCGAATTTGGAGGGCATTTTTTCTCAAATTTGGTCAGCATTAGGGTATATAATTTTGTATATGGCTGGAAAGGGCTTATCTTCAAGTATCTAAATCCAAAAAAAGGGTACGGGTTTGCCAAGCCATAATGGAGATACGGCCACAGAAAGAAAGCCAATTCCCAGAACTTTAGAGGGCGCTATTTATCTTTTGCATAGCCATTGGAGCATGCAATTTGGCATGGCTATGTGTAATTATGAGATAAAGATACTTTGAAATTTAGATACAAAACGAAATTTACATGAGAAAGTTATGGCAGTTTTAGATTTTTAGGGGTCCATTTTTCAAGAATTTTCAAGATTTTTGACGCAGTCGGTTTCAGATATGAATTTTGAGTACGAAGATGGCATTTTGAAGGTCAGGTTAAAAGAACATCTCTTTAACTTTCTAGAGGAATTTGTTAGAAGTTTGTAGGATCTAGGATAGTGGAGATAGGAAGGAAGAAAGAAAGGCCTTAAAATGGACCAGAAACGGACAAAATGGCGCCGGGACGGTTATGCACGAGTGATTTCGAAAATCGAAGAAAGTAGTGACCTTGATGAGATGTTAGAGACTATGCCTATGAAATTTGAAAGGAAAAGAACATGAGGAAAGCACCTAACTAGAAATAACAAACGCTACGTGCAAAACGAATGCGATTTCCTGACGATAAGGAAAACACTAAGGATAAGCATATTAATGGGGCAGAATGTGAACGAAAACAAAGCAATGACTAAGGTCGTCATTGCAATGAAGGCTTTTCTCCACTGTGTGTTCTTGTATGCCTTCTAAGGTTACTTCTGTAAGAAAATCCCTTATCACACTGGGAACACTTAAAGGGTTTCTCTCCTGTATGTGTTCTAAGGTGGCTAATAAGGTGATTCTTTTGAGAAAATCCTTTATCACAATAGGGACAATGAAAAGGCTTTTCTCCAGTGTGCGTTCTTGAATGGGTAGTAAGATTACTTTTGCAAGAAAAAACTTTTTCACAATAGGAACATTTATAAGGCTTTTCACCACTGTGTGTTCTTGAATGGGTTCTAAGGTTACTTTTACGAGAAAAACCCTTATCACACTGGGAACACTTAAAGGGTATCTCTCCTGTTTGTGTTCTAAGGTGGCTAATAAGCTCATTCGTTTGACAAAATCCTTTTTCACAAGAGGAACAACGATGAGGCTTTTCTCCACCATGTGTTCTTAAATGAATAATAGGACTACTTTTAAGAGGAAAACCTTTATCACACTGGATAAACTCTAAAGGTTTCTCTCCTGTATGTGTCCTAAGGTGGATAGTAAGGTCATGCTTTTGAGAAAATCCTTTATCACACTGGGAACACTTAAAGGGTTTCTCTCCTGTATGTGTTCTAAGGTGCCTAGTAAGCTTATTCTTTTCAAAAAATCCTTTATTACAATAGGGACATTGAAAGGGCTTTTCTCCACTGTGCGTTCTTGAATGGGTTCTAAGGTTACTTCTGTGAGAGAAACCTTTATCACAGTGGGAACACTTAAAGGGTTTCTCTCCTGTATGTGTTCTAAGGTGGCTAGTAAGCTTGGACTTTTCAAAAAATCCTTTATCACAATAGGGACATCGATGAGGCTTTTCACCACTGTGTGTTCTTAAATGTTGGGTCAGTTGATATCTATAACCAAATCTTTCATCACACTGGGGACACTTGTAAGGTTTCTCTCCTGTATGTGTTCTAAGGTGGATAGTAAGGTCATTCTTCTGAGAAAATCCTTTATCACAATACGAACATCGATGAGGCTTTTCTCCAGTGTGCGTTCTTAAATGGCGAATAAAAGCACTATTATTAGGAAATCCCTTATCACACCTGGAACACTTAAAGGGTTTCTCTCCTGTATGTGTACTAAGGTGACTAGTAAGATTATTCTTTTGAGAATATCCCTTATCACAATAGGAACATCGATGAGGCTTTTCCCCACTGTGTGTTCTTAAATGGCGAATAAGAGTACTATTATTAGGAAATCCCTTATCACACTGGGAACACTTAAATGGTTTCTCTCCTTTATGTGTTTTAATGTGCATAGTAAGCTTAGTCTTTTCAGAAAAACCCTTATCACAATGGGAACATCGAAAAGGCTTTTCTCCACTGTGTGTTCTTATATATGTAGTATGATTACCTCGGCAAGAATAAACCTTCTCACAATGGGAACATTTACAAGGATTTTCACCACATTTCTCATCAGTAGATGTCTTACTGCAATGTAAAGACAGATGGGACTTCTCTCCACTGCATGCTGTTATACGTGAGCGCATCTTTTCTTGTCCATTGTCCAAATCTGGGGAGGAAAAGAAAGTAAGTCATGTTTCTGTTGTACGATTTTGTGGTTAATATTCTCTTTGTAGCTATGTTGAACAGATGCTTACAGAGAGCTGAGAAAGTGTGGAAGTAAGTATTCAGGGAGGCTGCCAAGATGAGGACACATGACAAGATTTCAGCAGACGCAACTTATAGATGGTAAAAATGCTCTTTCATCAAGTTTTTCAAATATACGCCGGACCTAGTCAAATGTTTACATCGTTTGTAGGATTGATTAAATTTGAGCCTGTAATAATAAAAAAAATTACAGAGTATAAATAAAGTTTTTTTTTTCTTCAGATAGTTGGACAGAGATTGCAAATCTCTGACTATGCCAAGCCACTTTTGATTTTTAAAAAAACTGTATGAAACAAATCTATACTGTCATCAATAGCTAAAAAAATGAAAGTTCATGAATTTTCTGTAGAGAGCAAATTGGAGAGGAACTTCCAAAAATAAAAAATGTCCTATTCTCATTAAAGGGATAGTTTAACAATGTTAAATCTGAGATACACGGCCCCACATGTTATCAGTGTCTGTGATATGGTGTAATATTGAAGCCAAAAAAAATTGCGCTTCAAAATGATCAAGAAGTGCCTCAAAAAAGTAAAAAATCTTTGAGTGACCGGTTTTACCATACTCGTTTTCCCCAATAGACTGTAGTGTTATGTAAACCGTTTGGCAAACGGTTTTCAAAATTTGTAATTCCAATCATAAATATCTTGATAATCAGACAGCCGATCGGCTTGTAAAAGTCATGGGGTTCCTGACTGACCTAAAGGTTTATAATTATCATTGCATCATGAGCTAAATCCAGAATTTTGTTTCAGAATCTGAGACAAAGTTACCGGTTCCCTTTAATTTGTTTCTGTCATTTTTCTACTTTCATTAAAACCGCTAAAATATCAGGATGGACTTCCCCTTTACAGATTTGATTTGCCTTGAAGATGAAAGAATGTTGATCATACCCTCAGGAATTGATTGCTCAGTTTCTCCTCCTCCTTCACCTCCAGTTGTAATAGGTTCAAATATCTCTTCCTCATCTTCTTGCTTTATGGTGGCATAGACCATTTCTATAAGAAAAGGAAATCAAGAAGAAATGTTCAATATCAAAGTCGATTTGACAATTAATAGTTGTTATTTTCCCACATAAGGGTTGTTTTACAATCAGGGTACACACTTTGTCTCACTTAGGGTAAAAAAAGATCCTTTGATTCTTCTTAATTTTTGTTTATTTATTTTTAAAGTCTGTAAAATTTCAGGGCTAAAAGTCTCAAACTTTTTTTTTCAAGCATGAAACATGTCCTTAATGAAAAAATAGGGTCAAGGGTCACCTGCTGACATTATGCAGAAAGAAAATATTTATTGCTTCTTTGGGTGAATGTGAATGACATAGTTTGATAACTTGATGATATGGAATCAGAATACAACTCAATTTGTAAAGTTTTATTCAAGTAAAATTCAATTTTGCATCTTTTCATACCACATAATGATAGACTGACAGCACGAACACAGAGCAGTTTGACCCTATATTCTGTAACGTGTAAGGGTGCTTTTGCATACCAGCTTCCAGAATAAAAAGATAAATGGTTTTTGAGATATGTGGCGTCAAAAAATTGTTCGGTGAGGACAATTTTTATTTCGGAGAGGACATTTTTTTTACACACAGTTGGAACTGCCCGATACAATTATGATTCATTATTTCATGGCATAAATGAAACTGGAAAAATGTAAGTTTTATTAGAACATATTTTATCCCTTTTAGCACCCATTTATGATCTGCATGTAGATCTTCAATCACCCATCGTAGAGCAATTATCTTCTCCCTCACTTTAAGACTTACCAGTTCTAAAAACTGGATTCACATTGAACTAAATATTGTCAGAAGGTATCTGGACAATGCAGTGATTCTAAAGTTACAAGTTTTAAGGAATAGTTAACCATATATCAGTGTTTTGAAGATTTTACATGCTTTACACTAACATTCGAAGAGGACATTATTTGTTGACATATTATGATTGGTTCGTGCTCGTAATCCATCTCTCCAGGACAGCGTTCACGCTTTTGGGAGAGTAATTCTTCAAGGTTCAAGGTTTCCTTATAAACACAACAATACTATGTGTTCAACTTATGTAGAATCTTAGACAGAACTTATATGTCTAATGAACATAAGTTTTGGGCATGCCCCTCATATGATTCTACCAACTAAACATCTAGACTGGCACGTACGTATATATGCCATACAATATACAATGCCTACAATGTTCTCTTCAAAGTAATTTTCTCTTAATGCAACAGAAGACTTACTGAAAGTCCATTGCAATCATTGTATGAGATGAATTATGCCTTTTGATGTACAATAAATCTTACGAACGTGTACAAGAGATATATAAATAAATATTTCTTGGCATGATGTAATGCCTTTTAGCATGACATGGGCGGCTGGGCGCAGCCATTTTCTTTAAAATGTGATGTACCAGGCGTACTTATGCATGTTTTGCCTCTTCTCTTAGACCAATATTATTAATTTCAAAGTCATGAAAAGGCACTAAATATCAACAAACATGGTCTAGCATTTTATAGCCAACAACTTGAAAATTTTCGGCATTAAAAAAAAATTCTGCCAATTTTTGCTGATCATTTTTATTGAACAGCGATCAGAAATTATTATCTGATCTCACCCGATCGGCCAACGATCAGCCCCCGATCCAATAATCAGTTACAGGCCTACTAAATTCTATGGGTCTCACTCTTTTCAGGTTGCATCGGCCGAACTTTGGAATAAATTACCGGTAAATCTAAACAAGGGAAACGCTTTCGGCGGTCTCGCCTGCATTCCGCAATTCAATATGATGAAAAATTGAGGTTGGGACATTATTTATAGGCAGAGTCGCCCATTAACAGGGCCCCTTCAAAGAAGTTTTCTCTTAATGCAACAGAGGACTTACTGTAAGTCCATTGCAACCATTGTATGATGGTGGCTCATTAGCAGCCCCCCCCCCCCCCCCGAATAAAAATGAAATCCTATGAATATAAATTCAGCATTTCGAAGTGAATATTGGCTAAGAATCATCAGAAGAATTATTTACTATAATTTGTACCAAGATTGATAACTTTAATGGAATATGAACAAATAATAAAAATGATTTATTAATTCCCATATTAAGTTGTGAAAACATAATTCAACTGACCTAAAATGACCTTTGACCTAGACTTTGTGACCTGGAATTTGCGTCATATGATTTGTCATTTGACCTTGACTATGTCACCTAAAAGACTAATCACATGATTGATGATATACAAATAATGCACTGCAGTAAGGGCATTAGTAAGAATTACCCACACAATGTAACTTTGGATCAGTCTAACACGCCAGAGGCGATAGCCAAAGGTGTTTGGACTGTTCCAAAGGTACCGAGTGTGGGTAATTTTACTAACGCCTGGAAAAAATGCTGTGTATTATTTATTTTATAAAATTATGACGTGGATCCTTGTTATTTGATAAATCATCCTCATCATTCACCCTCATTTCTTCAGTCGAAAGCATTTCAAACGTAGGCATTTTAAATTCCGCAGCAGCCATTTCGTGAGTAAAAGTAAAACGATGAAATCTCAGTGGTTACAATCGCAAAACATGATTTCAGCGAAAAAACAACAACAAAACAAAAAAACTATTTTTGGGGTTTTTGGGGTTTTTTTGCCCCCAAAATAGGGGTGCGCCTTATACACAGGTGCGCCTTATACACAGAGATTTACGGTATATTTGTTAGACCATTTGGAATAATAATACCAAAAAAAAATTTGGAAGAGCCAGGTTATTCCTTATGTTATCTCTTGTTTTAATAATTTCTTATGTATTTCATTGTTTTTTTAACTTATGTATTTTATTTTCTTGTTGTTTTTGTTGTTTTATTTCATTTGTAACTACAATTCAACTATTTTGACCCCAAAACAATCACCTAAACTTTAAACAAGACCAAATAACCAATGTTTTATCTCTTTTTAGGAAAAATGACATTTCCATATGTTTTGAACACAAATCATAAAAATTAGCAATTTTCAGGCCGACATGCGAAGACAAAAGGTCACGTGACTTTGTAACTATACGTCCGATTTTCAAAAAAATCATTTTAAAAGATGCGTAAGACTCAAAACAAAAAAGTCATGAAAGGAAAATTCTATATCTGCCGCGGTTTTGGAGTAGTCGCAAAATTTCTACAGGGGGGGGGGGTCAATTTGACCCCCCCCCCCCAGTTAATGTAGGGTTAAAGCATTTGCCTCCCATTCAATTGACCCAGGTTCGAATGTTCAATTCCCAGTGGGTTAATTATTATTTATTTTTTTTGTGTGATTCCGTTTTACATTTGGTTTTATCACCTTCTTTGACTATTATACAAATAATACACAGGCGTGATTGCGTTATGATTGATGCAGCGCATGAGGGTACTCACTATGGTGCAATAAAATCCGTGAGGTGTGGTTGAGTGCTTTTGTGCCATTATACATTAAACATTATTCAGGTACAATGAATACCTGAATAGCACAGTGGCGGATCCAGGGAGGGGGGGGGGTGCGATTTTCAAATTTTTTTTTTGTGGGGGGGGGGGCAAAATAATTCACCGGCTGGCTGTTTCGCTGCTAAATATTTTCTCACAAATTGGGCCCTCTCCCCTGACGCCGGCTGGATCTGCCCCTGGAATAGCGCTACATCACTGTAACGTCACGAATGAAAACCTGTGTATTATTTGTTTCATAAAATGGGTCAACAATCTTTAGCAAAGTGATAACA